CCTGCCTCCGGTGCCGCGCCCCAGGCCGGCCTCTTCCTCCCGGCGCTTCCCGGGGGTCCGGCCACAGCGCCCGCAGAGATCTTGACTTCACATCAGCAGAACCGTTAGTTAACGCACCGCTCTCTCCGGACTCTCCCGGGCCGGACTCACACTGGCAAGTCCTTTATCCGAAACCCCAATTTCACTGCGAGGCCTGCGTTCACATTCGTTTTTCTTTTCTTTTTTCTTTTATTGAGTTTATTGGTACATTTTAGGTATGTAGTACGGTGACACTCATCACTGGGATCCTGTACCTTTACATGACAGGTCTTGGTTCTCATTTTTTCCCCTTGTCCCTGCCCTCCCTTCACCTCCTCCCCTCCCCATTGTGACCAACACTTTATTTCCATTTTTTCATTTTCTCAGATTTTTCCCTTATTCCCTCTCCCCCACCCTTCCCACGTTCCCTACACCTTCAGCCCTTTTCCTCCCATTTCAGTGTCAGTTATGTCATGAGGATCTCGTGTACTATTGCAGTTTATTCGCCCCAGAGAAACCACTGCCGTGTTCGCGCTCGCTAACCTGACAACCACGGCCGGCGCAGGGACGCAGAGGAGCCCAGGGAGAAGCAGCTGCCCGACCCCTCGCTCTGCCCGGGCAACGTAGGGACCCAGAGAGGCCCTGTGTCCAAAAGCGAAAGCAAAAGGGCTGCGGATGCAGCTCCGAGCCAAAGGCCCCGGGTCTGATCCCCGCTCCGCGAAAAGGAAGAAAAGGGTCGGGCGCCCACCGGTCACCAGCAGGGTGGAGGCCGGGCGGGGGCGGCCCTGGTGCCCAGCTCTGGGCAAAGCGCCGTCCGTGCCCTGGGCTCCGGGCGCACCAAGCTCTGCGCTTGTGAGCGCTGCTCTCCTCCAGCAATGGTTTATTTACCGACCCTAAAATTCAGATTTCAAGTAACCGCCGCGGTCATCGAATGCGGGGTTTTCAAAAACTTGGCTCGCAGACTTCGGCAGGTAAAACCCATCTTACAGACGAGAGTCGCGCGGATCCCGCCCTGCCGGCCCGGCCGAGGCCCTGCTCCCCTGGCCCGGCTGTCCAGGGTGGAGAGCACTTTCTGGGCCACTCGTTACAGTCTGGGCCTCCCTGGAGACCAAGACCTTCACACACAGCCCCTTGGGGCCCTCTTTGTTCAAACCACACCATCGCCTGGGAAGGAAGGCGTGCAGGTTCCCGGGCCCCTCACTGTGGAGAGACCTGCGCTGCACAATTTCAGCTGATACAGTTACATTTTTTTAAAATACCGGTGATGTGTAAAAAAATAAAGCAACCAGGAAAACAGGGTCGTATTTGATAGACAGTGGGAACGGACAGAGGAAAGGGAACCACAGCACCCCAGCTTCAGTCTGGGTAACAGAAATATCGGAGGCCATGGGGACAAACAGCTGTGCTCTATTAAAGACCAACTTCCTTTCCAGGGAGGAGAGAGATCTGGGCACCCTGTCCCAGCGGGAGTCGGCAGTGGATGGTGATTTCCAGGGGCCTGGGATTGCAGAGGGAGACAGCTGGGGAAAGTTTAGCCAGTGAGTATGTTTTGTAGACAGGTGTAATCTAGAAGCTCCAGGGTACTTTTCTCCGTAGAGTGACTAGAGATGGCGACAGTGTACCGCACCTTTCAAAATCCTGGAAGGAAAGAATTTGAATTTTTCACCACAGGAAAACACTCAATGTTTGTGGAGATTGATCAGTTTATCCTGATCTAGGATATCCTAATTTAAATATGCACTAGGCATCCATACTGAATCGTAGCATGGGACCCCATAAATATGTACAATGCTTGTGTTTTTATGGATAGGCAAAATCAGTTTAACTAAGAT